GACCAGGGCCATCACTGGAAGACATAAGTGAGTATTAGGTGTCACACCTCAAGGGGCACATCTACAACCTGCTCTCAGGCAGGAAAAGTAGCTGTGTAGGGATGGCTGTACTGCAAGTATCAGGGGGATGTGGGCCAAAAAGCCATTCTGGAGAACTAAGAGCCTGTCAGACAAGAATGGGTCAAGTGTCAACAGGATCAGGTGTCAGTGGGAGAGGAGAACAGATGCAGAAAGTCATCTGCTGCCCCTCAACCCTCAAATCAACACCCATGAGCCACAACCCTGGGAATCTCCTTTCCCATGCCCTCTCCCTCCATCTTCCTTCCCCACACTCCTCCTGCAGAGACATCCCAAAAGCCCAGACCTTGGGCTTGGTGGGGAGATTACAGCTCAAATCCCACCATGTCTCTCGCTGTCTGCGTCCCACAATCCCACTCCAAGCCTCAAGCCTGCTGCAATGTCAAGCAAGCCACAAGTGGGACTACAGCATTCCCTCTAGGAGGGCTTTTTCCTTTCGGACACATTGTTTTCATAGCAAAGTGAGGTTTCTGCGGAAGGGCCTGTCCTCCTGGGGTTATTACTCACAGGCTGGATTTGACAAGTTTTTCTTAAGTCCTCCCTCCTCTTCCAGGCTGCGGGGGAAGAGATCCCCCTCGGAATCAGACTTGGAAGCATCACCCTGGAGCAAAACAGAAGGCTTCAGCAAGGAGGATGATGGGTCTCAGTGCACGGACACCCCTCTGCAAAAACGGATTCCAACACCTCCAACACCACACCTACGGATCCACTGAACTTCGTACCACGATGCAACGTCACCTTCACAAAATGATGCATGCACAGGTTTATACCACAGACTAATTAACCTCCTACCAGGAAGACGAACTGCCTCTGGCTCCAAACATGGTCCCAGAAAGGGATCAGAAAAAACCAAACCATTGCTTAATTTTTACTGCTGGAATTGCATATGGGGAAAGACAGATATGATGAGAAATTTGGGGACAAAGGTTGGCCCTACTAATCTCTCTTAATTTATACACCAAGTCTTAAAACTCCCTGTGTGTGGCTCATTCTAGTGATGCTTTGATGGAGCAATCCAGGGCTCAGGAAGGGCACAACAGATCCTGAATTTCCAACATGACTAATGTGCACGTGGCGATGGATGCCCCATCAGCACAGAGAGGATCCAGGTGGCAGAACTCAACACTGACTGCCATGAGTGGCCATTCCTCTCTCAGCTGCCACACACAACAAGAGCAGAAGTTTTGGGGATTTACACTGCATGATTTGTGGAGTTTAAATTCTGCTGTTATGGTTTCCAACCTTGGGGGTTGAGCGAGAGCTGCCTGCTCTGATAGGTGCCCATCCTCAGGTGGAGAGAGATGTTTACCATTCTTCACAGTGTGGTGCCCAGGCTCTCACTTGGTCTTGTTGCACAGAGCCACTTAGGGATGTCCCTGTGCATCATCCTGATTCTGTCCATTGGCACTGCAGAAAGGCACTTAGGGTGTGGTATAGTCAGGATACACCCGGTGGGCAGTGGTGCTCGCCAGAATGATCGATACCCATCCAAAAAGAGGAGGATTCACGGCTGAAACCACTGCTCTGGCAAAGGGCACCAAGCCCTGTCACAATGGAGGAGAGGTGGGAAAAGAGGGAAGATGCTGGGATGGGAGAAGCCAAGCAGACCCTCACTTTAACTGTGAGAGCCCAGGAACCCCAGAAAACCCCACCAAGGCTAAGCTGCATCCCCAGGGGCCCTGGCCAGCTCTGCTGAGGTTTGGTGCTCGGGTACTTGTTGATAGTAACATCCCACAAAGACCCCAGAGTGGGACAGGAGGAAGAGATTGATCCAACACAGGTCAGTGCCCTGCACCTCATTGTTAAGCAAAACCCTAGAGGGGTGAGCCCCAAAACTCCCCCATTCTTTAGTGGGGTCATTAAACTGTTAAAGATACTTTTTTCCAGACAGTCTGGACACATTTTCAAGGCAAAAAAAAGAGTGTGACGTAAAGTGTTGGCTCAAAACTTTCCCTCCTGTGGATCCAGGACTTCTGTGCTATTCAGGGAAGCTCATCCTGCAGGATGCTGTCTGAGAAGGTCAGGCATGCACCTTGCAAGGGGGAGCAGTAAAGTTAGTCTGGCCTGAGCTTCACTGGAGTAAACCTGTGTCTCCATATGAACAGGGGCTCCAGCTGGCTCCGGGTACACTCCCCACAGAGGCTCCCAGCTCAGCCTGTCAGCAGCCCTGCCAGGAATTACTCATTCTCCCTAATGGGTTATTTAAAAGAAATAAATAATGGGAAGAATTTGATATGATTTGTATTCCTGGAGTGCTCTTTAACAGCCCAAAGGAAAGTTTTAGGGGGCACAGTGAGACGTGTGCCGAGATGGAAAAGCAGAGCTACATGGGGACTTCCCAACCCCCTTCCCCCAGCACCAAACCCCACGTCTGGAAGGCAGTGAGCATCCCCTCCCAAACACCACGTGCCAGACTCAATACGGTGCAGGCAAACATCTCGCAGCCGGCGCTGCTGCCCGTTACCTGTTCTTGCACTCCCAGTTTGCCTTTCTGGATAGAAAAGGGGTTATGAGAGAACAGGGAGTTAAAATCCTTTTGGGAAACGAGGGTACGTCAAGATGGACCAGGCGGTACAACGGCTAAACCAGCCTGTACCATAGAGGACTGACACACTGGGATATGACAGGAAAGGGCTTTTGGGCTGAGGGAAAAGCAAGACTTCTTGGAAAGGACAGAAAGGGAAGGGATTGGAAAAGAGAAAGATGAGGTTGGCAGAAGAGTAAGGTTTGGGGTGTGCTGCACTTCGGAGATCCAGCGCTTCCTCAGACCTGAACGAGACCATTTCACCATCCTGGCTGCACTGTAACGTGGCATCTTGCCAACAATTCCAGCATTCCAGCCAGCCTTTCTGGGACACACCACAGCACAGCTGCTGCCGTCCTACCCTGTCCTGCAGAGCAATGCTCCCACACACACGTGTCCACAAACAGGCTTGATTCCAGGTCCCTTCACTCCTGGGCATCCTCCTCTGCCTGTGTGAGGGAGCCTTGGTGGGCACACTCAGCATCACCATCCGCATCCCTAGGGAGGTGACCGTGCCATGGAGAGGCTGTGACAGCTCCATGGAAAGCCTTCCCCAGGGCAGGCATCCGGAAAGGGCTCAGTGAGAGCTGGGGCTGGAGCCACACCAGCCACTCTGAAGCACCCACCTTAATTTACCTGGCTCCCTCAGAGAAGGAAGGGACTTAAAATCAGGGCTGACTCGACAATGAGGACGACAAAAAGGAAAGAACAAACCAAAACCATTCCCAAAACACCCAAATAAACCCCAAAAGAATGACAGCTACTACAATGAGAACAGTATCACGGTGTGTGACCAGGCACCATGAGAGAGACAACCACAGTGGTGGTGGGATGTGCTGTACGTACCCCCGACGAGTCGACAGGCAGCTGAATACAGCTTAACTGCCCACTCGCATCTTCTCGCTTGGAGATCTCCTGAAGGAGAGACGGGGGGAGGGAGCAGGGAGGAAGGGGAAGGCGGGGTTCAATTTTCACAGTTTCAACAGCAGGACTGAATGGGGAATCAAAAAAACACACGAGAAGAGGCAGGGAAGGAGAGTGGAAGGAGGAGAAGGGCAATGCAGCCACGATGGAGAGCCAGGCTGGGGCACCTGCTCCATTCCACTTGGCACAAGGAAGGAGTGGAAGATCTCAGGTGGAGTGAAGCCCTTTGAAGGGACCAGCCTTACCTTTAAATTAAGTGTTTTGAACAGACCTTGCTTCAGCTCCTAAGTGATAATTGTGCTAATGAAACACCAGCTAATTATTGAAAACATGATTTTTTTTTTTGCAGCTGTATAATAGGATCTTTATTTATTATGCCTTCATTAAGCAGCAATGGAGGCTTCTAATGAATGTTTGATTAACACAATATCAGTGCTCTTGCAGCCAGGTGAAATACCTAATTTAACGAGAGCCATATAATCTACTGGGAGTTCAGATCCCTCCTCAGCCCTGTTAGTGGAGACACATTTAAATCAGCAGTTTAAACCAGGGGTCTGTAGGCAGGGGGAGCATAGCTCTATCCTGGGAGGCTTTGGCATATCAGTGGCCCCAACATCATTTTACAGCACCAGAAGTCAGCTTTTCCCTGACTACTTGGAAAGCACACACCATTTTTTCACCTTGTTGTGTTTCCCTTTCCTCAGGGGTGGCTCTCCCAACGTTCCTTTTCAGCAGTGCAGCTGTGCCTGGTCCCATCCTATGGGGCTGGAGGAGCTTACATGCTGCAGCAAGAGGGCACAGACTGTCCCACCATCCTAATTTGTTGCCTACAGGGCAATGGAACTTTCCTCTGGTAGCTAAATTGGTACAAAACTCATCCCAGCCTAGGCTGAGATGAAGAGTTTAAGGACTTGCCAGTGACGTGATGGACACTTAACTTAAAGTCTTTGCTTGTTACAGAGAGAGACATGGAAAAGCCATTGAAAGAGAAAAGATGGAAACACTTTTCCTTTCAAAAGGAAAATCCCACTGAAACTGGTAGGAATGCGGAAGGCAAGGGATGCAAGAAAAACACCATCCAAAATCTCTACTGCAGGAGAAGGGACTTTCCCTCTGGTGGAAGGCCAAAAGAAGTCAACGTCGATATTTTCCCAAGGATTCTGTCTCCAAGAGAGCAGGTAATGTCCTGCAGAGGAAAGGATGGAGAGCCTGGAGGACCTGAAGTGCCAGGGAGGGAGTGGGCCACAAAGGAGGGGAAGGAACAAACCCACGAGAGAGGACAGACAGGAATAACGGGACACAAACTGGGATTACCAATGGAAGAATATACTTTGGAGATAATATTTTTAGGAAGTCCTTTGGGAAAGAAGCCCAACTAAGAGGAGTCACTCCTTGCTTCACAGAGAAGTCTCCAAAGCAGGGACCTGAGAGGTCAGGCAGCAATTTCCAATTAGCAGTTTGATCAAACGGAGTCCCCTGCTCACCTTCCCTGCACCAACACCAGGTTCCAGTTAAACTGGGCAATGTGCAGTCAAAAATAACCACGTGGCATAAAGTCCTGTGTGTGCCTCTTGCAAGAAAGAAGCAGGTTACCAAATAAAAGGGAAAAAAAAGGGGGGCAGGGAAGAAACCTGCAAAATATATTGCTCCATATTTAAAGTTTGGAACAGATCCTTTTTGTTTCTCAACTGCTTATATACATCTGCTGCCTGGCAACTGGGGCTGCAAAGCCATGCACTAAAATTAACGAGGTGCTTGCGGATTGAGGAAAGGCACTCAAGGACCAGGCAGATAAAGGCAGCAGCCCAGGATTGTGTTTCAGCCCAGAAATCTGAAGGAGAATGGAAAAAAAAAAAAACCCACCAAAAGAAAAAAGCAACTCAGAAGAAGAGTCAAGTGCAATCATGGGAGGAAGACGCCAGGCTTTGTTTACAGCGAGAGATGATCTCTCTATTAATTCTGCTTAGAGAGGATCCTCTGTGTGCTGGCTTGCAAAAACCAGAACGTGATCTGTTCACAAAGCTACACACCAGCAAAGCTGAATAAACATAAACCAGTAAGGCCAGACCTGGCTCCCAACCTCCAGAGACATTTGCTCCCTGTCTGCTGCAGGAAACGCAGGTTGAGCTGAGGGTTCTCTTGATCCCATTGCACTTTACTGGAAGAATGTGGAGAACTCAATAATGAGGATGTGGAAGGGAGATTATTAAAAAGCCATCATCAAAGCTTGATATAAAATAGCCCTGGAATCAGAGTCACAAATTATAGAAACATGGTATGAGCTCATTAAAATCTCCTTGGCTGGACAGGACTGGCAGAGAGGGTTTGGTCTTCAGAGGCTGCTCTGGATCCTGGTCCTGCAATCACCTCAACACTAGCGTGAGCATCACTGGCTTCAGGCTGTCTCAGGGCTTTCCCAGATCAGAAGTTACTCCCTGATTTACACAGCACTTAAAGCACATTTACAGCTTACACAGATACCACAGAGCTGGCTTGGACCAGCCCTGGCAGAGGAGATGCAGGGGCAGGCGATGGAGCAGCCATGCTGCAAAAACCAGCTGAAAGCAAATTTGAGGGGTGCTGAAGGCAATCCCCTGACTCCAGGGTAGACGTACCCTCAAGGACATGGTTTTCAGAATAAAATCACAGCACATTAAGCCTGAATTTACAGGGCACCATGGCACAACTGGCTGCAAAGCGAGCGTGGCATAAATCGCTGCCCAGGGAAGAGGCATGCGGCGGCAGCGGAGCGGGAGCACCCCGGCAGGCATGCACAGGAATGCTCTAGCATGGAAAACTAGGCTGAGCCAAGGAGCAGAGGTGTCAGCCTCCCTCGAGGGCCAGGGGCTGGCAAAGGGGCTGCTGCATTTAAAGGCTGAGTCCTTTTCCCTGCACAGCGGGAGCAGCAGGTGATCTCCCGCATTGGTGACCTTCAGAGAATCAATTTGCCAGACTGAACAAAGGTTGGGTTTCGAAGCTGTCACCAGGAGCAGACAAGGAGCTTTGTACCTCTTCTCACTTGGACAAGGGAACGTTGTGCTATTCAGGAGAACCTGGCAGTGATCTTCCCTTCTGCTGAATGGTGTGTGGGGGATTTACAGACAGAAACAGCTACAACAATAACAATTAAAATAGAAAAGCACCAACATGGAGAGAGACAATACAAAAAAAAAATTTCAAAAAAATATTCTTGCTATCTCCTGGTATGACTCCATTAATTCAACTCCAAACTGTGCTCCAAAAATAGTGATGATGATAATAAAAACAGCTCTCTTCATAGGGTGGCAGGATATTACGATACACAAGCAACAAATCTTAAATAATATTTAGTCATCCTACAATGCTTATAAAAATCAGAGACAGTGTGCAGAAGCACAGCCTATACAAGCAGATCCCAGTGTGGAGTTTTAGGTTATATTTACCTTTCCAAACAACTCCCTGGACAGGCTGTAAGGTTCCCCTCCCCTTATAGATGTCCTTGGACAGTCAGACAATTTTTGCAGAGAGTGGGTGGGCAACACAAGTCTCCCACTCTGTGTGGTGACATGATCACTCTGAGTTGGACAGTTGGATTGGCAGTAGGATGAAAAAACAGTTGAGTTCAAACTTAAGAGCCCCCCAAAGCCTCCATCAATCCAGGATGTCTCCTGGAAACTCCCAGCCCGAAGAAGCAGATGGCATAGACCAGAAATCATGTTCTTTAAAATATTCAGAGCATTGCAGGGCTGGAAACAGGAAGAGCTCCATGAATACGTACCATGAAAAAAGATAATCGTGTCACTAATCTCTTACCAGCCTGCGTAAGTTTTCAGGAGGGGCCTTTAATCTGGCTGACAAACACGGTGAAAACTGTTTCAAAGAGACTGTCATAGCAGCGATCCCATCCGCAGTGCCTGACTCACCGCTCAATTCCCACTCCTGCATTAATGCTAACAATGCTTTTCATTTAAGCCCTTCATTTAGAGGGTTTGCTGTATTAAATTGCACCGTGGCTATGGAGAAGCAAAAAAAAAAAAAGAAGAAGAAAAAAAAATAGAACACCTAATATTTTACCCCACTTTTTTTTCTTGTACCACTCTTGTCAAGGTATTGCTGTTCGTCTCAGAAATCAAATCCCAGGATCTGGAAGCCCTGAAACTTTAGAAGAAAGTAAAGGCACGAGCATGAGGACATTACCTCTGTCTGGAAACCCTCTACCAGGATGGCCACCAGCAGGTTAAAGAGAACGTAATTCCCAAATGTCATGAGAGCGATGAAGTAGAGAGCAGCCCAGGACGAGGTGGATGCCATGCCATTGTAAAGGACCTTGTTCCAGTCTTCCTGGGTCAAAATCTGCAGAGGGAGGGTATCAGGAATATGGAGATACTGGAGGATAGCATGCTGTTTTCCCCAATCCTGGCTGGGTATCCATGCTCTAGATAGCCCAGACAAGCACCTCACTTTTGGGTTATCCACGCAGCTCTAACCACAGGAGGATAAACCCAGCCCAAGTAACCTTCTGAGCCCCAGAAAAGACAGGGCCAAAGTGACTGTGATTCCCAAGCTACTGCTAAGGACCCTGTGCCAACTGCCCTGACTCGCCCCTGCACTCAGGGACATGCTCAGGCATAAGGAAGTGTAATGACACATTGGTCAGACCTTTCCCTTTGGTCAACCACAATAGCTAAAAGTCCTTCAGAGGTCCCAGGGTTACAGAGCCCAGAGCTGCTAGAACAAAAATTGCATGTAACAATTATAGACTTAAACCAGATTCCATTATTTGTTGAAATATCACTGCTAATAGTCCTGATCTGCTCCTCTCCATCCCCTCCCTCTGCACTTACTTTCACTCACCTAGCCCATACCCTGCAAATGCAAGAGGCTCCTGCCTCAGCAATCCCTTCTCATCAGCATTCTGATTTAGCCTGGAAAACAGTCTGAAAACCCCCGTGTTCCTGCACTTGTGGTTTTGGGTCACCTCCTTTCCACGGTAAGGAAATTCTGTCAGCTGCTTTGGAAAACAATCCCAACCTTCGCAATCCCAGAACAACATGAGTTGTGGCGTTTTCCATTTTGTACCTGGAAAACAGTGACGATGGCCCAGAGCAAGGAGTCGAAATTCTTCCTGTCAGGCAGTGTGTCACCATCCCGCTCCGAAGCGAACTTACACCCAAAGAGGTGCATCCCCAGGATGCTGCACAAGATGGGAAGCAGGAGCTCAACAAGGGAATCACTGTACAAACCAGTAATGTTACAGCAGGGCTGACTGTCTCCTGATTTCACCTGGGCAGTTCCTTTTCTCTTTTATTTTTCTTTTAAAAGTTGAATCCTTTGTTCGCTGAAAAACATGCCTTGAGATCATGCAAACCAGTTGTGAATTTAGGTCAAATATGTCAAAGAGTTTCAACCAAAAAAGTATGTCTGCTCCTTCTCTTTCTTCTGCCTCTTTTTTTTTTTAAAGTCAAAACATTGTCTTTCAACATTTTCTAAACAAAATGTTTTGACTTTCTGTTTTGCAATGACACATTTCCAGCAAAATATGCTTCAACTGAATTAGGAAGACAAAAAGGGCTTCTGTGAAATGCCTGAATAAGACATATCAGGGGACTCAAAACAGCTTTTTGGATTTTGACAAGAGAACAGAATACCTTTCATTATAGATAGATACTAAAAAGAATAATCTGCTTTTCCCTGCTCTCTGCTAGTAGCCTGAATAATCAAATTATTTACAGCTCTACTGAGCATCATGGCTGCAAATGGCTGTTTTGAAGTGAAACATCTCACTGGAAGAAGGGATGTTACTCCATGGAAGAGATTGGCTTTCTTCAGCCTTCCCAGTGCCTGGATTTCTGGAATACCATAGCTGGCTGTAGAAGGAGACAGGCTCTTCTCAAGATCTGGACCAAAATCTAAAAATATTGGGCTACACCAAGCCTATTTCTAACATTTCCACTTCTCAGAAGGCAAGGCCATGCAAGAGCACAAGCACCACCACGTCTGACTTTTTTTTTAGGAACGTCACTATCTCCTCAGCAATATTTTTAGCACCAGGCTTTCTGCTAGTCGGTAAGTAATGGGACCACTGTCTTGGGGTGATGTCAAGGAATCATCTACTCTGAAAGATCTTCCTTGTAAATCATCTTGCAAAGACGAACGTCTCACTTGGCCAACTAAGATAATTGAGTCAGAGCACCACGTCACTGCCCATGTTGGCCAGCAATGCTGTTCCTAGGACCATTCAGCACAGTCATGTCCTGGTAGGGACTCTGTCATCTACTCACCCTACCGTGGGATGCCACCTAAAAACCCAGAGCAACCTCAGGACAGGGAATCAGAAGCGCTCACCTAAAGATGAAGATGAAGAGCATCAGCAACATGCAGAACGTGGCCACATTGTCCATGGTCTTCATGAGGACTACGAGCTGGCGCTGGAGGGCTGGCATGAAGCGAACCAGCTTCAAAACCCGCATGAGCCGAAAGGTCCTCAGGACTGAGAGCCCTCCACCTTGCTGGCCCACTATCTCCCACACGCTGAGGAAGACAAAAAGGTCAATGCAGGATGAGAGGACAAAGTCTAATGCAGCGGCATGGAGGAGAGGAAGCAAAGGCAGGGTGAAATTCTGAGAGAAGAGGGATGGAAAGTGGGCAGAGATGTGCTGCCAATGCCCGCGGCGAGCTGGACTCCATCCAGGCTCGCAAAGAGCAGAGCCCCACTTGAGTGTCAAAAATACGCCTGCAAATCAGTGGCTGCAGCTGCAGGGGCAATTACAGCCCTTGCAAGTGCCAAAAAACCAGAGAGATACTTAATCGGCCACTGGTTGTGCCATTTGGATCCCAGAGTTTCCCAGGACATCAGGACTGATAGCTTTCTGCTTGGGCTTCTCTCTAAAATGACCATAAAATAATCCCAAGGTATGTATTAGCAATCATGTCTAAGTGCATTAATTTACAGAGAGAAGTGTAAAGTGTCACAGGAAGGTATTTATGCCCACTCTCCATTACTTTCAGTTTAATTAAACAGCCAAATGAGGAGAAATACACATAAAGAAAGCTCAGGGTTTGTACCTAATCACCACGATGATCCCATCAAAGATGTTGTATGGATTCTTAATGTAGCCAAAAGGACCATAAACAAGGACTTTCAACAGCATCTCCAAGGCAAAGAGGCTTGTGAAGACAATGTTGCTGATCTCCAGGGCATTGGTAAGTTCCTCTGGCTGGGGAAAAAAAAGAGGAGGAGAGGGAGAGAGTAAACAGCACAGCTCCATATGCAAAATCACACATGGAAACACAACAAGCCCCAGTACTGCAAGTGTCAGAATACTGATGCTAATGGTGTGGTGAGAGAATAGCAATAGCTCACTGAAAGCCCAGGAGACAGAAGAAAGACTATTGGAGTATTTAAGGTTTAGAAACCCGTTGTAAATTCAGCAGGTAAATCCAGACATGGACTTCACGTTAATCACAGCTTTAGTACCACCTCAGGAGGTTTATGCAGAAGTGGCATGTACTGAGGCTTAATGCTTTTTTGACATCCCCCAAACTGATTCTCCTTATGCAGAAGGGAAAGTTGGACTGTTTTCTCACATAAATATCCCTTTAGGGCTTGTCTTTTTATTTAGTAGCTCATCAAAAGATTTCAGCTAAGATTTTTCAAAAGCAGAGATCTGAGGTGATATAGCAGCAGAAATGGCTCAAAAAAAAATCTCATTATCAGGAGGACCCAAATCTGCTACTGAAGAAGGGCCCAATCCTGACACTTCAGACTGACAATCTAAAAGCAGAGGTATGAAAAAACCTTAAGAAACAGACTCCTGGTAGTCTTGGACCTAAATTAATACCTTACATTTTTTTTTAGCATGTTTCACAGAGGGTTCCCAACAATGCCTGCAGATGCCCAGCGCTGCGCTTTCCCCAACAGGTGGGCGGGCATTATCAGAAAACATATGGTAGGAGACAAAAACTGGTGGTATAGTCTGTTTAGGATCAATCAGTGGCAAAGACAGGCACAGGATCTGCAGAATCAGATCCCTTCTCCCCATCTGACCCCAACACACAACCACAACTGCATGTTTCTACTTAACGACTTCATTGAAATCAGGAGCTGACATTCTGCTGGCAGATGGCCACGGGGTCACGTCAGCAACGCCAAGGTGGCACAGGGCAGTGGGCTGGCACAGCTCACAGAACACCTCACACACAGCGGGTGCTGGACTCCTCTTGGGTAGTTTGGCCCTGAACTCACTCAGATACTGTTCTAAATCCCCACATGTAACCACTCGTGTGGCTTCAGATGCCTGAACACTGTGGTGGGTTATGGCCAGATGTGCATGTTCACAGCAGCCACACCATGAGCAGAAGCCAATGTGCAACCCATGCAGTTGACTCTATCCACCACCTACATGATACACTTTCACATCTGGCCAAAAACATCCTATGACAGACCAGGAGTTGCCACACCACAGCACAAGTTGTAGGGTTTGACATGAGGTGACCCAAACCCTAACACCATACCAACCATGAGAGGGGAGAGCTCAGGGTCAACCCTTGATCAGCTGTGTTACAGAGCCCCAAAGGATTCACAGATACACATGGGCAAAGAAACACACAAATCCACGTGGGCAATCAATACTTTCTTTCCCAGGATTGAAGTATCCAGACCAAGCCCTTGCAGTACCACCAACTCAGTGTGATGGTAAATGGGGATCCAAATTTCTCTAGTGTTATCTCAGTGTGGTGATTTAAATCTTGGAGACTTGCACTGATATTGGTGGGAGCTTGTGATAACAAAGGATAGCAAAGGGGGAAACAAGCATTAAAAAGAAAAAGTAATAAAAAAGAAAAAAAGAGAGTGTTGAACACACCTTATACCTCTAACATCCTCACTGAGGAACAGATCCCTTGGCTAGAGTTTGCCAAACACAGCACACACACAGCCCAAATTGCCTGCTCACTGATCTACAGCTAAAATACAAATGTTCCAGCTCTTGATATTAAACGCAGCCCTGGTTTAAAGCCATGTACCTATGGGAACACTCAGACACAGGGTAATAAATAGGCCGAGAACTTATATGTCAAGCTGCACCTCAGGACGATTTCAAATAGCTGAAAGTCTACATTAGTCACAAAAAAATGCCAACTCATTCATACGCGCCCCAGCGCCGAGGCAGGCTGTGCTGTTATCAGTACCGCAGCGATACTGCTGGAGAGGAGACGTGTTCCTGGAAGCTTTCCTTCTCATCCATCAGCACCACTGACCTGGGCCCTGAAGGCTGACTTTCACCCTCTGTTCTCCCTCTGTGGCCACGCTGCCAAATCTAACCAGCCCTTCAGGCACAACCCTGTTAAACTCCTCAATGCGTGAGCAAGCGCCCAGCATCTCCCACAGCCCCAACATCCCTTCCTCATGGGGACTGACATGGAAAATCCAACAGACCTGGATGGGATGACATGTTAATAGCATGGATTAATGAAACTTAGCACTTCATGAGCACCTTCTGGTTGGAGATGTTGTTGGGATGTGTAAATACAGATGGGAGGTGGTGGCAGGGAACAGCTGAGTGATGTTAGGAGCCACAGGGGGAGCAACACTTACACTGCAACTCTCCCAGGACCCCCAGAACCCACTGGAAGGGATGTGGCTCCTCCAGCCCATGAAATATCCCTCCCCAGACCACCCAGCTCAGAAGAGCCAAATATCCCTAGCACTGGCATGGAAGGGCTATGGGTCAGCCCATGCAGTGAGGTGATGCTCAGCACTAAATCCATCTGCCTCCACATCCCTTGCAGGAAACAATTTTAATACCTGAGACATTGGGCAGACATAATAAAAATGAAGAGTGGGATCTCCTGAACCAGAGGTGAGAATTAACATCCAAAAATCTAAGATTAATGGCCAGAATGGATTGAAAGAGAACAGAAATTTTAACTTTCACTTATCCAGAAGAGAAAGGTCATCAGAGCAGCCTGAAGCTCTGCTGGGGAGGGTGAGCTGAGCATCTGCTGGAAGCACACTCCAATCAGACCTGGTGGAAATCAGCTGAGTTATTTTGCTTCTGGAAACAACACATCCCTAAACAGTTGAGATGGGGCAATACAAATTACTCAGAGGATTTCACAGCTAGCTGTGGAGCACTGTCCCTCAAGACCCTCAGTCCCACTTGGGGGTCCCAATGGCAACTCATGAGCCCTCTGCAATAGCTCGACATCCCTTTCAAGGGACACATTGCTGCAGCCAGTCCATGGGGCACCCACACGGATCCCTGCCATGGGCATCACTGGGATTTATTGATACAAGCAGAGGTAGGCTGTGATCATGAACCTGCCCAAGGGGATCCCAGCCAGGCAGTGGGGATTCAGACCCTTCTGAGAATGCCAGCTATGGGATATTCATGCAGCCAGAGATGTGTACAGATAATAAAACTGTTTATAAGATGCTTCTGCTCTAGAGAAATCACAAACATGTCTGAGACATCTTTCCTGAAACACCATTACAATACAGCAGGAACGTGGTTTTTCTCTCCCGTGGGAATTGAAATTGTCATCCCATCCCAAACAGGAATGCAGAGTTCCAGACTTGGCAAACTGAAACACTGAATCTTGGAAGTTCTCCCCTCCATTTCAGTCCCCATTCCTTTATCCCTTTGCTTTGTACGATAAATCAACCAAAATTAAAGAACATAAATAAAAGTTAGCTTGAAGAAGAACATGGAACTTTTTGTTCCCCAACTGTTCAAACAGACATTTCAAATATCTCAGACAATGTATTCCAATACAGTTGGGGTTTTTTTTTTGAGGCCAGTTCAGTGAAACCACTCCTCTGCCATGAACAGCTTGAAATGTGATAAACTGCCATTTTCTGACAATAACTGTCTAATCAAAACACTATCGACCAGCTCTAGACATGATGCACCTGGGAGAGTCACTGACTCCTGGCACACAACCAGCTCTGTGGGTCCTTGCTGGGCTGGAAGGAAAAGAGCCAGTAAATTCACTCAGCTTTCCCCTCTGAGGGCCACAACAGAGCAGCTGGGGGAGGTAACATCCTTCCTTTGACTAAATGATATATTGTGAGGAAAAAAAACCCCTCCATGGCCACCCTAAAAAGGGCATTTTGCAGGAAGCAGAGCCTGAAGTGCAGAGCCTGAGGTTTCTATGCAGCACAAAGCCTCTGCCCACCATCCCCGTTACAGCACATCTGCCACAGCCTCAGCTTCTCCATTAAAAGAAAAGTCTGCTAATTCTCTCGTCAGTAGCAGCAGTGACTAATTAAAAGGAAAGCATCCTATGATTAAACAAGCAACACCCAGAAAGAGTGAGACCCAAGCACGATTCAGCTGCGGCACGAAACACCAACTCTTCCGA